AGACCCAAATGTAGTATGAAATTTGCATTTGCAGCGATTAAAAAATTACTGGGCAAGAATCTAAAAACCAGGTGTCCAAATGAGTAATACTGTAAATGGAACAATGCTCATACTGTTATTTGCAAAAAAAAGGCTAAGAATAAAATCTAGACCACAGCTACAGCCTGCAAGTCAAATCCGGCCTACCAACCATTTTTGTAAAGAAAGTTTTACTAAAACACAGCCATGTCCATTTTGTTTATATTATACATTGTATATAGCTACTTTCTCCCTGTAATGGCAGGGCTGAATACTTGCAACAGAGACTAGGCAGCTCACAAAGCCTGAGATATTTACTAAAATATTTAGTACCTATTCCAGCACAGAAAGTTTGTTGACCCTGGTCTAGACATACTGCTGATAGGTATGCATTTGTTGAACAGTACTAGAACAATTAACTATGGTTGTCACAACATAAGGTATTCAACTACCCAGAATGTAAGATGCTAATTATGTCACAACTGAATTCCTTTTTATATCTGAAACAGTCCTAACATTCTTCTTTTTATATTTGTGGTCTAATATCAAAAAGTATTTCTGAGTTATAAAAAGATTTAGTATGGCGCTGTCCAATAGAACTTTTTGCAATGCTGGAAATATTCTATAGCTGTCCTAATACAGGAACCACCAGCCGCGCGTGGCTACTGAGCATCTGAAATGTGGCTGGTGCAACCAAGAAACTAAATTTTTTATTTTAATTAATTTAAATTGCCACATGTGGCTTGTGGCTACAACACAGGACAACACAGATTTAACACAACTTAACTAAAATTCCAAAGTGGTAAAATGTAAAAATAACCCCAAAATTCAAAAGTAATACCTTTGCAAATAAGAGCTTTGGGCAGAAAGGAACTGAATACCACAAACTGAGCAAGACAAACTCCTTGATCAGCAAACAAAACTCAAACTGATTCCACGTTTTTTCATCACTGCAACGTGTCTTTTCAATGAGGAGGTAAAACTATTATACCATAATATATCTTTTTTTGGCAGAAGCCATGATAATTTTATACTTAAAAGGAAAAATTGAATCATCATTAATTACATTAAAAACTATGTAAACATTAACACAAAATATTCTTTAGCTTGCTTTCTATCAGAAAGTCACCTCTTACAAATGTCACTTTATTCCCCACCCTTAGCATTTCAATCATGCTGTCCAGAAGCCCTTGTTTACAGGAGGTACATATGAGAACTATGACCTCTTCAGAATCTACAAAATTTCTAATTAGTCACTTTTACTATAGCAACATCCTTCCAATAGTCAAATATTCCAAACATTATATCTTCTGTGACATGACAAAATACACGTACGCATTTAATGAAAGAATTGAAGGATAGCAGTAAAGCCTTGTATATATCAAGTCGAAGAAATCACCCTTGTATAGTTCATCATGTGCCTACCTCAAGACTATTTTTATATGGATCCCAAAAAATAATAAAACAAATCTAGATACATTTTATAATTACATATTACTCGTTACATATTGCTAATTAATTAACTTATTGATACAACTGAAAACATTAAACTAAAATATAGAAAGTCGACTTGAAATTATATTACTCTCAAAAGACAAATGTTTGTTGGAGATGTTTGTGTAATTACATCTTCCAATTATTCAAATGTGCTCCCCCAGAGAGATAGCTAATTCTATACTTTGTTTTCAAAGTCAGCTGGCAAAATTAATTTGATGCATTTTGATTTTAAAATACCTGGTATCCGGTATCATAAACTTCTTTTTCAATCTGGTAGTTAGTTGAAAAGTACAAAATATTTTAAGGGCACTTCCGTTTATGTTTTCTTTTGCAGTTTAATCAGCTGTTGTAGCAGGAACTCTAACAGAGAGATTTCTTCTGGTGTTGGTAATATGCCGTTGCTGTGCTAAGAAAGACCGTGCGGGAGTACACGCGCCAGTGTCTTTGCAAGCACCACCGCCACTCACAAGTCTAGACTCCATCCCCAGTTTCTGGAACGCTAGACTCTGAACAACAACAAAATATAGAGATGTGTATGTGTGTGTACATATACGTTTAACATGACTAAATATTTAGATTTTGCAAAGTGCTTTTCACATAGATAAAGACATTTAATCCTTAAAACAATCCTATAAAGCTGAGGTTTTCCTCATTTCTATAGAAGAAAATAAATAAGTGTTCAGAAGCTGATTAACCTCTGATGTGGTAATGTTAGTAAGAAGGCATAAAACCCACTTTTTTAAGCTACTAAATTTGAAATCATTAAAAACAGTTTAAAATAACTTGTTGGACTTAGGCTTAATTCTAACAATACGAAGAAATTTCAAAGCAAATTGTGTTTGGGCCATCATTCCACCATCAATAGGCAGACATAACACAAAAGAACAGCTTAGAGCAATGGTTCTTGAAGTGTGGTCCCTGAATTAATAAGATTAGCATCGCTGGGAAATGGCTAGAAATGCAAATTTGGGGTCTTTACCCAGACTTATTGAATGAGAAACTCCGCGAGTACAGCAATTTGTGTTTTAGTAAGTCTTCTGATGCATGCTAACATTTGAGAACCACTAGTACAGTTCACATTA